GCTAAAAAAGTTAGTCGCCCCTATGATATTATACTAGTGAAGTCCCCAATCTTCCTTTTTTTAACAACAGAACCTACAGTTATCGCTTGCAATATGAGGTTTAGTCATATCATATAGTCAGGAGACTAATACGAAACCCATGATAATAATTCAATAACAAACTTCAAAACAATTTATAGAAATGAGTGAATAACAGTCGCCACATATCATTAAGTAGATCACTGGACAATCTGTGACAACAAACAAAAACGATTGATTTCGATGACTTCGCTTGGTCTATATTCGTTGTAAATGAGTCTGTTTTAAATGTGAGTTTGTCACTGCAGTGGCTGAGCTATTCATTCTTATAAAAGTTTTTGTATTTCCCAATGAATGGAGAAACAGTATGATTTTGTGTTTACTGGTTAATCAAAGCAATATCAAACCAGAATTTACAAAATCTCGACTTATATATATTGACTTATTTTGTTTACGTCAATTTTCGTTCCTTCCGTTGTTTGATTACACTGGACCAAAATGTTAGGACTACTAGTTACCATCTATCAAATAACGTCAGTAATAATCCTCAGACATAGTCTGAGCACCAACAGAGATCGAACATTTCAGTTTAATCCATCGAAGGGAAAAACAAATTGATTTAGGCGAAAAATAACTTTTCCCCAATGCCCAAGAAGTGGACCTTATAAATTATGTGGCCTAGTGGATAACGACTCGACGTTTGAAACGAACAGTACCCTGCTCGAGTAACCGTAGAAACAATATTACTCACTGGGATTACACATATATTCAGCTGATGAGTAGGAATAGGGTGAAATGAGCATCCGGATCTCTTTGCTAGCTAGTTTCATATATGCCAGTTTACGCCGTCTCTGGCGTAGACGCGATATCCGACTATCGACCAAAGGGCGTGTGTACTGCTCATCAGTCCGCTCCGTCCTCCTTTATGGCTGTGAGACCTGGCCACTGAGAGTGGAAGACATGAAAAGATTAGCTGTCTTTGATCATAGATGTCTGCGTTCTATCTCCCGCGTGAAGTGGTATAATAAGGTGAGCAATATTGAGGTTAGGCATCGAGTGCTAGGTGAGGAGGGGAAATCAGTTGACGGGACTGTGAAATTACATCAACTGAGATGGTTAGGACATGTGTTACGCATGCCTAGCCATCGCCTTCCTCAACGGGCAATGTTAGTTGGCTGACATAGGGTCAGGCTGGAAAAGAGCTAGTGGCGGTCAAACCAAAACATGGCACCAGTCAATGAAATCTACAACAGTTAGTCTAAGCCACGTTGGAATGTGTAGACTTCCTGGTTCGGGTCCTCGGGACGGTAAAAACCAATGGTTGGAAACAATTGGTGATATGGCTCAAAATCGTTCTCAATGGCCGGCGCAGATGCCTCCACTCCTTGTGACTTATGATTTTCAATTAAACTGTTTTGTTCTTCGTTATTACTATACCTTTGTCTCACACCTCTGTTTACTGTCTATATTATGCATTTCTCCTACTTTCTTCTCTTCCTTTGTGTGCCACATGGAGTGTGGCGACTTGAACAGATGCAGATATGTGCAAAATTCTATGTCGAAAACAGACAGACAAACCATCCACCAAATTGTATAACTTAATCATAATCCCTCAGCATAACGTAATTTCCAGTTGTCAAATAGGCGAATCGATGAAGGTAACAAACCATGTATAGATTATTGGATTTGATAATAATTATGTAATTTTACAGTCAGCATATGTTTATATAATAAAATTGTTTATCAAGTCTGTGTCGATTTGTTCCTTCATGCTGAGAGAAGTGTTGGAACCAGAACTGAACTATTCATTCACTTTTGATTAACTGTAGCCTTCATACACAGAATGGTTAAGATGAAATAATGTATATGCTCACTTGACTATAAGTTAATGACAAAATCACACTTGGTATTCTACGTACGGATAAACAACTGCATTTCAGATATTTTTCTATTCATTAAAATTAAGTCTTAGACAATTTTCTTAAAAACGTGTAGTCTTCATGATTTGACAGAATGTCACAATTTTCAGCCATTTCATAACGTTTTAAAAAAGATTGGTCTAGATTACAATGTCAGTCAATTTCACACAGGTATATGGGCTAAACAATAGAATAAGGTGAACATGTGACGTAAAATTAAGTTTACAGTAAGTGATTTTACTATTAGTTTAAGAGTGTACATTACGGAAGATTTTTATGAATGATTTTCTCGTCAATCATTTTAATCAATCACTATATTCATAAGAGTTATAAAGCTATTTCATTTCTAAAAAAATAGACAAATTTCAACAACCTACAGTTATATATTATATATCTATAGCAACCTTAATATATACTGACAGAAGGCTCTGGAAATTTTCAAGTATTGGTTTTATAGGGAATTTGTTTAATTCGTCTGAAGATTTCATCATGAGGTGATATCAGTTAGAGAACCATTCGAAAACCTGGTAGTACTCGGCAGGTGTTTCTCCAGTCTAGTTTGGGACCCTCCAGCAGTAGGCACCCATACTGCGGGGTTCGAACCCAGGACCTTCTGGTTACAAGGCAAGCTAGCCCGTCGACCATTAAGTCACTGGGATGTTGTGATGTCCTGTTTGCAATCTAATATGGCTTCACAAATAATTTTAGCAGTTGGAAGTATTTTCAATTCATGCGCCATTGTAGATGTGTACGCTTCATTATGTATTCAAAGAAATAGGCTAAACATGCCACTAAAACTGTTGTGATGATAAGAAAAGCAGTTATTGTTGTTAATGTTTAGTTAGTGCTTTGATAGCTAGGCTTTCAAATAAAAATTGCATTTAGTTCAATCTTAAACTTTATTCTTGAATACTTTCAGGATTCCATGATCTACCAAGAATTAAATTATTCTCTAATTCTTCTAGGACCATTCTTCATACAAGGCATTAGCAAATAACTTCTCAAAATATCCATATCCACCTTACAGGAACAATGTTGAATGTGTGGTAACAGATTCATTCGATTTTGAATCCAAAGTAATAATACTAGAACCTGTGGTGAAAATCACTGTGGTACACCATGATGTTGAATTGGTGTTAACGTTCAGGTCAGTGAATAATAGTCTGGAAAATGTATCCCGTTCTTTGTGCTGCGGCACATTTTTGGTAGGGGGATGTTCACTAAGTATCAGTTACAACATCTGATGCTGAAAAGTTTGTTCAGAAACTAGCCATTTAACTCTGATAAGGGAATTATATCAACACACTAATACTGATGCTACTGGTTAATCGTATCATTTTTAGTAGAGAAACCATTTAGATGTAAGGGAGGAAGTTTTACTTTAAACGATCTTCAGCAGAACACATATTTAAGTCACAAAGTCGATTTCGATGATGTTTACGATCTCAAACAGAGAATCCTTTCTGCTGCCAAATCTGAATTTCAGTGCATGACAAATCCAGTCAGTTGTCACCATGTATGTACAACATCTTTATGGATTCCATGCTTTTACTTCCTTGACACCGACAACGAAAACCTAAAATATGTGATGAAGTAATTATTATGAGTGAAAAATCACCATTTTATTACCCAGATTACAAGTGATGAACTGAATACTGTTCAAGGTTCACGAGGTTTAATTACATGGAATTCGCGCTGTTGTCTTTTTGTATTAAAAGAAGTTTACCTACCATCGAAAAACCCTGACTTTCAAACATTCGCCACATAGGTATGTTCATTTTAGAAAATCCACCGGTATTCCCTAGTTACTGAAGCGTGTTTTACGTAGCTATATCTTCACAAGATATATTAAAAATACAAAAAATTAAACGCTTCCCTGACTTCTTCATGAATTTGAAATTTCCACACCTTAAGACATATACCTATTTGGCAACTATCATGCTTTTGTGTCGTTATATTTCAAGAATGTTTGACGATTAGTCCAAAGTTATGCTAATAAGCGACAGTAGTATCGAACTACCTGGTTCCTTGAATTGATGCTGCAGGAATAATAAGATATTATTGAGTTGTTTTTTGTTTATGACCATTATCGCTATGAAGGCTGCCTGGATGACGGCAAGTTCAAAATTATTTGTTTTTCGAACCACAACATACACTTAGAAAACCGGTGAGTGAATTCACGCGTCAGGCAAGCCCTCGAATGGAACCCAAGTGAGAAACAACGACTTAGACAAGAGTCCAAGGAAAACATGAAGGTTATCGTATGAGGAGGAGATGAAAGCTTAGGGTAAACGTGGATCCAGCTAAAGAACACTGGAGAGAACAGACTGAACTAGTGATGTACTCCTAAAGCCTCCTATTCCAACGGGAACCCAAGGAAATAATAATAGTGTAGCAATAATAAACAGGCCTAAATTATTCGGGAGTTTGTTGGAAACCTGTTATGTATAAGACGAACAGGAGTTTTTAGTAACAACTCTCTGAAATGACAGTTCATTATCGTCAGTTGAAAACTGTTTTCTGAGAATAATAAAATGCAAAGAACAGAACAATGCCAGACGTAACTGAACACTTTTAGTGCAGATTCAAGGTAGGAGAAGCAAGACTAAAAGACACTAATTGAGGTCGGAATACATCATTAGACACAAAATGTGATTCGTGTCAGTTGCAGAGGTTTACGCATTTTACTCATATGACAGCTGGGAGTATTTAGAACGTTTATAAACTAATATACAGACAGAGCTTAAGCTGGTAGTCTTTTGTGTAAATGTAAATCCTAGTTCAAAAATGATCTCATCAGTGATCAGCTAAAGTCTATTAACTTTCTGTACAGTCACTCAAGATGAGAGTAATATAATCACCTTATTAGTTTGTTAACTCTTGGATTAACTAAACTGATTCTTAATTGTTATCGTGTATTCATACACAGATAGTTTCAACTTTGTCATTCACCTTAACCATGACTATGGATTTTTAAACTGTTAATGCCAAAATCGTGCATTTAGGTGTACCTCTGTGATTACATCATAGGCAAAATATATTGATTGTTAACAAGAAATCTCTCTCTGTCACACATAATAAGTATATTAAAATTTTTCTTAAAAATCAGGTCAAACGTCCACTGCTTTATATGTATTCAAAATTATGATCAACGATTTTATAAGTATAAAATATGATAATGGAATTTTACAAGGAATGGTGAATTATGTTTACACTTACAGTAATACATAAATTGGTACGTAGAACTGTCACAAAATTAGACTGAAAACACACAGAACTGAGAAATAAACTTTCCAAGTAGAAAATTATGAACATCAATACAAGAATGGACAATACAGTATTAAATTCTGTGCAAAGTTAAACATTATCACTTAAAACTACACCTCACTTTCAATTTCTTGAACTTCACTTAATGTTTCGAATACACATGTACGTGATAAGGAGTTTCCTGGTGTTTTGTTAAATAAATTGCTACTATTATTATTATTGTTGTTGACAGTGTCAGTGGTATAGTTTATGGAAAGATTGTCACGTCGTCTTGTTCGTCTTGGTGAATTCGGTGCTGAATGGGGTTTAGGTACTAAGGTCCGTAAACATTCTAAAGGACCAGTGCATAATGTATTTTGATTAAAAACAGATAACCAAAAGTTCACAGAGTTCTCGTCGGCTGTTTCTGCTTGTATAGTTATGCCTTCACCACATCTTGTATATATTTGAAAGCGTTTTTCATCAATTTGACGTGAACGTGTGTGCTTTAAATTCAAACGCATGTAGGGAGGAGAACAAAAGTCAGGTATATACTGAGAATTTCGTGGATTTGTTTTTGACTTTAACAATATCACAAGCGATGGAATGTCTACATTTTGTGAATTCAATTTTGATGAAAGGGAACTGGATTTCTGATAAATTTGTACCCAAACCAATTGTTTTTCTTGATCGTTATCTATAGGATTTTTGTTAATTGGTGTAATAAATATTTTTCCAATGATAGTCTGTCCAAAACTGGAAGAGTGTTCCAAACTGTTAAAATAATTTTCATAGAAATTTAAGTAGACTTCTTTTGAATTGTAGGGTGAATTATCATTATGTCCATCAACACTAACAGTATCATCCGCTGCATCATTATCAACGTCAATAAGAAATTTGGAAAATGGAACTGTTAGGGATCTTACATCTTCCACCTTTTCAGCTAATTCTGTTATATCCCTTTCTGCAACTATCGGTTCAATTAATATTTGAGGTGGATTGTTCATTTTAAATAAATTTTTTGCAGCTTCTTTAATATCATTTAGGCAGAATATGTACGATCATAATTGTATTATTCCCGATAAACGTATTAGATGTTAACACTCAAATAATTATGGTTTCACTTATATATTCCTTAATTAACCAATCATCGTGAAGCATTTGAGTCAGCCAATTACGTTGTATATTTGTAGCTATTTTAACCAATCACATCCTTCATCAACCAATCGTGTCAGTCAGAAAACGTGATGTCATTTACAAATAACGATATGCTATATTAGATCATTGCTTTAATGTTGAAATCAGAACGGTGTATGTGAATACCTGAGATTAAAAAAGTTATTTTTTCAATGTTTTCAATGTTATATTATCAAAATTGCAGACTTTGTGCAAACAAAACCTCTAGTGTGTCTATACTAAAAAAATTGAATATCAAGGTGTAATTAAATGGAAATAGGTCAGAGTATCTTCTAATTCACAAAAATTTATGAAATTGATTTTATTTTCATTTTAAATTGCTACTTATTATTATTTTTTCTCATTAGCGATTTCTGAGAAATTCACTCCTGCGGTATGATTAGCAGCTGAAAACCACACGTTTTAGTCTGAACTCAGGAAACCATTTTTTGCGTTCCGCTGTATAGTTAGCCTGAACGCCCTTGATTTACGTATGCTAAAATATTGTTCTGATGATAATAGTAAAAACATAGTTATTTACCATAAGATCTGCGGTACTATTCAACGATCATAGTTTATCCAAAAAACACAAAATTACCGCAAACACGCCATTAGACATCTATACTGGTCCAATAGTTTCTCACGTACAGAACAAGTACTCTACGAAAGAATTAATTAGCCAAGTCGGCCGTAAGAAGTACTTGAGATTCAAGAATAATATTCCAGACAAGGTGGGTCTAAAACTCTGTCAACAAAAATCATGCACCAAACAATTCTCGCGTTGAAGTTTCTGTAGCAATTTGGTTTCAGATGGCCAGAAAGAATCACCAACAAGAAACTATGGGAACAAACAAAACAAGAATCAATCGCTAAACAAATATGCAGGAGAAAGTGGAGATGGATTGGACACTCGCTGAGGAGGCCGTTGGGTGACATCGCGCGTCAGGCCGTTGCTCGAGTGGAACTCGAAAGGGAAGCGGCGAGTGGGACGTCCAAGGGTGACATGGAGGAGATCGTGTCAAGAAGAGTTGAAACAGTATGGATTAACATGGATGCAGGTGAAAAGTACATCAGAAGACAGAAGCAACGTGGAAACGTGTAGTTGAAGCCCTATGTTCCACTAGGAACCCAAGGGAACAATAATAATAAATAAACAATTCTCGCAGACAGACCATGGTCACGATAACCTAGACTCAATCAAAGAAAATCCCAGTTGTAAAACAACATATTATCAGTATCATCACATAACCTTAAAGTGAAACATTAAAACTAGAGATTAAACAGGAATATTGATAAATAATAAGGATTAATTCAGAATAATGATAAACAGTCTAGGAGAAAACATCTCAATAAATATCAAAATTGTAATTAGGTCATTCCGGTGGGAATTTTCAAATAATTATTGCGTAACCGTGTAACTTGTGTCTGTTTTGTTTCATAGTGTTTCTTTTTGCTAACTGGATAAATTTAGTCGAAAATACAAAAAGTTTCATTTGGTTTGTTACTAAATTTAATTGTCTGAAATTATGATTCAAAATAAAAGTGGTTGTAGAAATTTGTTTGAAATGAATAATGAGTTTTGTCTGATACAAATGTTTCGTGTATAACCACATGATAAACACTAACAAATATGGAATGCACGCAAAAGTTTGCATAGGCTTCAAAAAGCTACTAAGCGTAACGGAGGCGTGATTGGTTTGTTTTCTTTTTGTTATCTTATGTGCAGAATACCAAATTATTGAATTTTTAATAAAAAATTATTGAGTGGTCAGAATAGTTGCAAACGTGTGTAACAAGCTGAAAAAGTAGCCGTTCGATTTTCAGATAAGCGGTATATTTCACTCTATTAAACGGTGTGGTGTGACGAAAGAAGATTCATGTGATTCGCGTAACAATTTTAAATTTGTTCAGTTTTGTTTGAATTACAAAATAACAACTGTAATATCCACCGCACAGATAAGATATTCTCATTTCACATGAATATTCCTTTCACATTTTGCGTAAAATGCTTACAAAATAAATCAAAATTTTTGATAATATCATGTTCTTTTCGATTCATTTTGTAGTTTGTCATTTCACTTTTGTACCTTTCCTGACTCTTACAATATTTGTAGGGAAATATGTTTTCTTGATCCCTGAAGGTAGAATACCGATATGAACATTCATATTTATTGCTGAGAAGATAATAATTCTGTTTTTAATCCCTTTACCTTCAAAATAGAACGTAGAGTTTCAGACTAAAAGCCATAGATTTTTAGTACCAGCAGGTTATTTACGTGAAGTTGCTAGCCTGATGCTCAACTATTCCTCATTCACCATACATACGACTGACTAGCCGAGTTTTTGGAGTACATTGGCTGGGAATCGAACCTGCGCCACGTGCGTGGTTGGGGAGTATTCTGTCAGTGCGCTACCAGCGTGCGTAAGATTGTTTGGATTTCTCTAATTAGCTGTGTACTGAGGAATCTCAATTATCGGCTGACATCAGTTAGAGAACCATTGGGAAAATATGAGAGTATTGCACAGCTGTTTCGTCCTAGTTTGTGTTATAACCGTAATGAATTGAGGTAAACGCGTCGCCAATTTGTTGTAACTGTGGTCGGAATTAGATGAGGAACGTTGTTGCCTTGTTCTGTCTGCGCCTGACTAATATGCCTATCTGCTTCTGGTACCTTCCGACTCAGCGAACCACGTAAATATCAAAAGACAAAGTCTGGTCTGTGACTGTGTATTGTAGTACAACAACTACGACTACGACGACGACGACGACTACAACAACGACAACTAAACTTATTTGGGAAATGGTATTTATACATTTTTACAACCAATACAGACAGCTAACAGTATTTGAAATAATTGGTCATAATAGTCAATAACAAAATGCGTGGGAATGATGATATACCACTTATGCGAGATTAACAGTCGTTAAGATAATTGAACAATAACAAAGTGTGTGGGATCCTATCAGTTTGGAACTCTTCGTCAGTATGTACCCACCAGTGAGGTTCTAGCCCGTTGACCTTCTGGTTACAAGGCGAGACCGTAGACCATTAAGCCATTGGGACCCAAGGCAGTTAACCTTCGGTTTTAGTGGGAAGCCATGACCAGTAGAGTGCAGCAGGTTGAAGGTGAGGCAGCAACTCATCGAAGAAGACATTGCGAAGTGATCGCATTATGTCATGAATCGGCAGAAGTTAGAATTCATGGGCTGGCCATTGGATCGAGTCCCAGTGGCTTTAGTGTCTACCAGCTTGCTCACCTTGTAACCAGACGGTCCAGGGTTTGAACCCTGGTGGTGGGTACGTACTGGAGAGGAGACCCAAACTAGACTAGCAAAACAGCTGCCGAGTACTACTAGGTTTTTGAATGGTTCTCTGACTGATGTTAGCTTTTGATGAAATCCTGCAACCAATCAATCAAAATCCCTACAAAACAAATACTTGAAAACCTCTATTGTTTTTATTTTCATAGCAAATTTCATAATAATAATATTGCGGTAGCTTGATTCTGAGCAAAACGTTTTTAAACGGAATAGAATTTTCAGCAAGTTTTTATCTACTCCTTATATAGAATCTCCTGTTAAATTATTAATTTTCAGTTTATCATGATCGGTGATGCGTAAGTAGTTCAGTGCTAGAAGCTCACCGATCACGCAAATGTTCCGGGGTTCGACCTCCAACCGACGCACTTCTAAGCCCCTCTAAGTCTGTACTAAGACCAGTAAAGAGATAAGGTTGGGCGCAAGGCTAGCAATCCCAAACCGTTAAAATAAAACCCCTGTTCCGGAAACTTTTAAGCTTAAGCTTGAAGCCCTATGGTCTATTCCATACGTATCATGAACGGAATATTTTTTGATTTAAACATCTTTCAGCCGGCGCCGTATCTCCCCTTCTAAACATTCCAAGTGGTATGTCGAAAGCCATCAAAGCAATGCACGTGAATACAAATTGTTCTTAAACTACGTAAACAAGTAATTAAATATGACACATCATGCTGTTTGGAAAATTTGTTAGCAGACCGTCAGTTAGAAATAAGTGACATCATGATTGTACATTTTCCTATGACATACGACAAGTCTGAATTAGCCCCTTGATAAGAGCTACATAAAAATGTTAAGGTGGAACGCACTGAGCAAGCACAACGCCATAAAAATGTGATGTTTGATATCAGACTTATCAATTCTATCTCACTAAGTGAACTGATAACATGTTCAGTTTTTTGAAATAATTCCGGTCATCTAATTCAAGGGAAGCAATTATTATGAAATATGTTTCCCTTGAGACGAAGAAAATTACATTTAAATATGATTTTAATTATTACTGAAGGTTATTTAAGAGTGAGAATAAAAATGTGCGTACATATAAACAATAACATTTCATAATATAAATCACATTACGAAATAATACGACACTTAACTAATAAGATCACGCGCATTATAGATATAGCAGATGCAACTAATTGTACTTAACCAGTTATTTTGTTCAAGCGAAATCAAAACACAAAATATTCATAAAAGCGATAATAACATTTTTAACAAAGCAGGGAGTGTGCCACTGAATATATATCCAACATGCTGCAGACTTCCGTCAACAACTACCTTCTCTGACTTGATACTGAAGAGCAGAAGGCTAAAAAAGACAAGCAAAAAGGAATTTTGAAAACTAATCAACTAATATACCGTTGTCAAACAATTATGCCGAAGATAAATGGATATGGATAGGAAAGATGCTGAGGAGATTGCTAACTGACATCAGACACCAGGTTATGGCTTGAGTGAAACCCAAATTTAGGTGACATTGAGGTCGTACCCAAAAATTATGAAGGCCTGCCGCCAGTTGGGGATCCAGCCAAAGGTGACTGCAGAAAATAGGGTGAAATGGAAATGTCAGTAATTCACCGAAGAGTCTCTTTTCAGCAAATTCATT